AGGAGTCTTAGCTTTCTAAATAAGACTCAGTGAAGATAGCATGAAGCCAGCTGAATCTGTCTCTTCTTTCTATCCTCCTTTTTTTCCCTGCCATTTACCCAAAGGAGAAAACAAAACTCTTTCATTATCTTTTAACATTACATAAAAATCATCTTTGAAAAAGAAAACCGAATTTCATGTTTGCATTAGTGCATCTTTAATGCTAAAGCTAGTTTTTACATACAATTGTATATACCTATCCAGTTTTAATTAATTTGACCATAAGGTAAGATTTTCATAAACTTTTTAGAACGCTTTATAATTTTCCATCAAACAGCAGATCCATTTTCTAAGAAAATCCTGTTATTTGGACACATGGGCCTAGATTCTGGCCCCACGTCGGTATGATTTGAATGTTTTAACCTATGGAAAAATGCTAAATAATTTTTTTTAGCTCTTGGCCAACTTGTTTATACTAACAGAATGTTTTACAAGATCAACCCTTTACAAACCCTTTTCACTTTGCTTAAACCTTTAGTTTTGTCCCGTTACTCTTTTAGGTTAAGACAATCTTTAAAACCCTCGGGCCTGGCACAGTGGCTCACGCTTGTAATCCCTGCATTCTGGGAGGCCGAGGTGGGCGGATCACAGGGTCAGAAGATTGAGACCATCCTGGCCAACATGGTGAAACCCCGTCTCTACTAAAACTATGAAAATTAGCTGAACATGGTGGCGCACACCTGTAGTCCCAGCTACTCAGGAGGCTGAGATAGGAAAATCGCTTGAATCCTGGAGGCGGAGGTTGCAGTGAGCCGAGATCGCGCCACTGCACTCTAGCCTGGTGACAGAGCAACACTCCATCTCAAAAAATAAAAAATAAAAAAACCCCTCAGAACTAGACAAAATTACATTCCCTTTAACAAAAGCCATATTCTTATGCCTTCTTATAATCTTTTACCAAAAACACGTTCCCTACACATCTTGTATTTTTTAAAACTGTTTCTCCAATGGTCTCAATTACATGTTACAATATTAACTCTTAGCAACTTTTATTTTTGGTGAAAACTCTGATAAGTAAGAGATTTTAATTATGTATTGGGGTGGAGCCTAGGACATTAAGACAGAAATGAAGATAAGGTCTGACTTTTTAGCATAGCTAGCGGGCATGGTTCTCTATATGTCTCCAGGCCTTATATATTATCTAAGCCTCCAAAGTAGGTAAATCAAACAATTTTCAAAAGTCAAAGAAACAGTTTGACCTTAAAGCATTTAGCAAATCTGATATCTGACCTTAATTTAGGGCAAATGTCTACATTTTCAAGACAACTTATTTTACCAATAATCTTTAAAACTGTCTTTATTTCCAAAAGATTACTAAAACCATGTGAACAAAAAGGCATTAAAGTTTCTATTTTTCTGACAAAATATTTTATTTAAGCCCTTTTTTCTAAGCCAATTAATCAGAGCTCTTTTATATATAAACATCACACACACATATACACAGACACACAGACACACACACACCTCACATGTAAATACAGACAGACAGACAGAAGATTGGGCACTTGTAAGATTTTTTCTTTTGCCAGTTTCTTAATTGGATGACTGGCTTCAGGGTGGAGCCCTTGCAGGAACGGAGCTGGGAGGGCATGCGTTTCTAGGACCAAATAAGTAACAAATAAACAGCTGAAGGCAAAGACAGATCTCCAAAGTTAAAGATGCCATTTTATACTAGTTTCTGGATCCCCAAAGGGAGGGAAATACTCCGGAAGAAGACAGTGCAGTGCTTTTACGGACTGTGCATTTCATTACAAGGCAACCCAAAGCCAATCAGCCCATTTTGTAATCAGCCCATCCTCATGAGATCTCATCTCCCAGTGAGGGGTGACGATGTTGCCTTATCTTCCAGGTGGCCAAGAGCATGCTTCTCTGATCCAAGTGTGAAGAGTCAAGTATCCCTCCATACTACTGTTAACCACCCCTTAAAGTATATTTCCTATCTAGTTATTACACACCAAAACTCTCTCATAATGCAGAGTGATTGCTGATACCCCCCAAACTCAAAACCGTCAGATAACACAATGCAAAACAGAACAGAGCCTTTGATTTTGACAGGGATCTATCCACTTTGGCTGTATCCAATTCCTGGGGTTTCAGGAGGAAAACAGTGTTCCCCCACCCCAACCCGCCAAAACGCGGCCTCTGGTGCCTCCTCTGTTTTTCCCAATGAGTCCTAGGCTACCAGAAGTTATCTTAGGGCCTCTCATGTGCCTTAAGGATGACAAGACCAAAAAAAAAAAAAAAAAAAAAAAAAAAAAGGAAAAAAAAAATTCAGTCAACTGAGAAGAAAAAAATCTTTTTTCAGAAAAACAAGTTCCAAGAAGAGAAAAACATAAAGGCCTTTTAAATATACCTATAGCTTGTTTATCCACTTTTAATTAAGCTGACTTTTAACAAAGTACTCTCTAAAAAATAAATCCTTTCAGATATCTTATTACCCAACTTTAGCCATGCCAAGCAGCCAATATTTCTGGTTTCTGAACTTTACCAAAGGTAACCTCCTAGGTTCTTCAAGGACATGGCAAGCAGTTTCTTTTTTACAAGATTTATAATCTCCACGAGGTAGTTCAGAGAAAGGAAAATCCAAGAGGGGAAATCAGAAGCTATCCATTGGTGGAAAAACACCTCAATAAATGGCAAAGTTACACAAATAACAAACCAGAAAGGAATCATTCCAGAAGCCAACAATTGAACCCAGGCCACCACTGCCAAAAAGATAACGCCTTAGCTGCTGAGCTATATAGCACTGAGCAATTTCTACTGCTTTTTCCAGAAGGAGCCTAGAGAAGCCAATTTCAAGCTCACAAGGCTTTTATCTGCTCAAGAAAAATTTTTTGGACTGACTATGACATGAACCCCCAAATTCCTGTCCTCTGGATGGTGGAAACCAAAAGAAAGTATCCCCATATGGTCACAAGATTTAGCTCTCAAGGACATAAAACAAGACATAGAAATGTCTTACAGTATTGTCTATCATATATCAAGTAGGAAAAATAAGTTATGGGATAGTATGACCTCATTTTTAAAACACAAAAGAACTCCTGAAATGCCAAACTCTATATGTCTATGTTCATAGCTGTATCTTCGTCTAATCTGTATTTATATGAGTCACAGGCATAGAACAAAAGCTAAGGAAAGAGGATACACAGCAGATTATTAATAGTTTATCTCTCGTAATGACATTGGGTAGAAAGGGATTAGATTGTTATTTTCACTTAATATTGTTCTGTGTTTCAATTCGTCATGAAAATTATCTATAGCATGCATTTAAAATTGTTTTAATTTTTATTATTTTTAAATTTTGTTCACAAGTGCTGTCAGTAAGCATTTTTGTTTTGTAATTCACAAAATGATAAATATTTTTAAGTGACAATATAAAATAGTTTCAGCTAGGTGCAGTTGAGCATGCCTGTAGTCCTAGCCTGAAACCCTTTTTCAGGAGACTGAGGTGGTGAAACTGCCTTTGCAAAATTATGACCAAGACAATGAAAAGATCTAACTTAACTGACTCCATCTCGCTTCTAATCTCCAAGCTGTCCTTGTTCATTCCTGGGGGTAGGCTGAACTAACTTTGGGAGAAACTTAGTTTATAGTTTAAACAAACATGGTAATAGCCCTTTCCCAAAGCAGACCTCCTTTTTGCCTGGGGACTAGATTGCCTTTGTAGGACTAACATTAGCCACAAGATTAGAAATTATAGTTTAGAAGTCATGGAGCTGGTGGCTACAAGGTTCTGACCCTCCCTAAACTGCTTCTAAGATCAGTGCTTGATATGGTTTGTAGACCCTGCACTCGATGGAGATTAGGGTTCATCTCGTGCCCTGCCCGTGACTGTGTTCAGTTTCAAGTCGATTAAATGCCAGGAATGTAAATGCCACTGTTTTCTAATGCAGCTTTAATATTTTTATTTATCAAAACCCTGAAACAAAGTGTTTTTAAAATCATCTAATTTTACAAAGTAGTCCCCAAAAGTTTCTTCCTTACTTCTTCCCTAGAGCTGATGTCTTGGGAATTTTTCTCCATATCTCCAAATCACACACTTGTATTACTACTTCTTGACTTTTAGTTAGAGGCATTATCTGTTAACCTCCTACTAGGGAAGATGTGAATTTAGTTCTGTTTTCTCCTCCTCCCCCTACCACACACATGTGCCCTCTCCCCCATCCCATTCTTTCTAATATAGTTATATGGTTAATTCCATATTCAGTGTTTACATTAGGATACTTATATTTGTTTTATTCAGCTTCAGAGCTGAGTCATGTAGTAAATATGATTGCTTTTCCTGCTCAATTTTGTTTTTCCTGGTATTAGTAATTATTGAGTTTTTTGTTAGTATTTTTCCTCCATTTACTTATGAGTCCTTTAACTCCAAATTGTTTGCCACTTTTCTAAATCTCTTCCCAACACCTTCAACATGTAGATGTTTTATCATTTTCATCTTCATGATGAAATCACTTCCAGTCCTACTACCTTTTGAACTAGTTGCCCATTATTCCTAGTGCTTAGCTCTCATCCTGGGATCTCCCTTCACCATGACCCTGGAGATTCCATTAGCTTCTCTCCTATTTTAGACTCCTGCTTCTTATATCCCATATCTTCCTCTTCCTTGGTTTACACCCACATTTTGGTGGAGCACATCCTCTATGAACTTCCTGTGACAGAGAGGAGGTCCAGGAGAAAAGAGTTTTGAAATTCCACTTCCTAAAGATATTTATCTCTCATACTTGATAGTTTGGTTGGACATCTTCTTACATTTTCAGAAATGTAAAGTATAGAAAAACATTTTCTGTCATAAAATGAGGCAACATTTATATGAAAAAGCGAGGTAACATTTCCTAAATGTATCCATCCAAACTCTGAATCCTAAAGAGCAGTGCCTTCTGCTTCTCTTCAAGATGTGGCAAGTCTTAATTCCAAATAGGTGAATTTTATATTTTTATTCCTTTTTTTTTTTCAAACAGGGATCTATTTGTGATGACTATATGGTAACCCTTTGCTGTCCTCATTGTTCTCTTTGCCAAATCAAGAGAGATATCAACAGAAGGAGAGCCATGCGTGCTTTCTAAAAACTGATGGTGAGTCAATGCAAACATTCCTCTCAGAATATGTGGGTTTTTAGAAATATCACTAATGACTTTGTCAATTACTCATTGTTTTGAATAATTCAGCAATAGCTATTTCTTAAGTCTCCTGAAGTGCTATCATAATATCAAGATTGGCTTTAATTTCTTCTTATGAAGAAGATAGCTCCATACTTTGAAACCATAATTTAGTAAATAAAGGAATGGTGAATTTTCTAAACTTCTCAGAATTCTGGTGATCTATTAAGGAAGCACTTACCAGTTGTAAAATACCAGAGTATGGTGAGATACAAAAGAATTAGAAAACATTTTCCCTGCTAAGACAAACAAGTTGACAAAAGGAATTGGTAAATAATTATAAAATAGAAGAGCAATGAAAATAACATACTATATGATATTTGGATTGATTGTGGCATAAAGCATGTATCATAGCAAGGTGAGGTTAAATAGAAAACTCTTATTGGAGAAGTTGAACTTTGAAAGAGGTGGACATAGAATTTAGAACGTTTGGAAATGTTATATGGAATTCACCATCTGAAATTCAATCAAGTCATTTTCAACTAATTTTTCTCAGGACTATCTATTGAGGATGTAGTTAAGTAGAAATCAACATGATTTACTCCATCCCCTATAGAATATGTCTTGAGTATGGAAAGAAAACAATTTTTCTACTCTTTGTAATAGCCAATTTCCTTCCTGAAGTGATAAGGACTCTGTATAGGTTAATAAAAATAACTCTTGGGAGATATGTAAAAAAATGTTCATTTACTTAGCAAGTAATGTATCAAGGATCTAGGATCAAGTATACGTTGTCTTTGCAAGTAATGTATCAATGTATCAATATCTAAGACTAGGTAGTTACTGTTAGGTATTGTGGTGGGGTTGGGGGGCAAGATGAATAAGCTGGTCCCTCTGTCATTATAGACTTTATACTAAAAAAGGGGGATTAGACAAACCCCTAACTAAAATGCAGAATTCAATTAATGGCTATAGACAAAGTGATATTTTATGTTCAGAGGAGGAAAAGATCACATCTTATAAGATGTATAAGTGAAAGTTTCTTGAAAGAAGTGATTTTTAATTCTAAAGAGGAAGTGTGTATTAGTTCACAATGAGAAACTGATGGCACTGAAACTGTGATAGTTCAAGGATTTAATGAAGACTAAGTATAAAGGTGTGGGTGGGGCACTGTAGGGAAATGACAAGGCATGGTGTAATAATCTGCCTGGCAACAGCCCCAGGGAGGAGAAGAGGGAGCAGTTACCTGAATCCTTAAGGAGAGAGCTGTGTGAAGAAGGCTGCCCTGAAAGAAACAGTATCCTCTCAAGAGAGGGTTTTGAGCAGCCGGAGGCAACCCACAGAACTGAAAAAGTACCCTGACCTCACTTTAGGATGTCCTTCTGGGTTTCCCGTTGGCTGAACCCACCAGAAAGGCAGAGGGCAGCCAAGTGTCACCGTAGTCCACAGGTCGCCTCCCAGGGCACACAGCAGGATGGTCAAGGGCGTAAGTGAATTAGATGGGGCAAACAGAGGATCACTGACTCAAGATGTGGTTTTAATTAATAGAAATGGAGGCTGAGTGCAGTGGCTCACGCCTGTGATCCCAGCACTTTGGGAGGCCAAGGCAAGAGGATTGCTTGAACCTAGGAGTTCAAGACTAGCCTGGGGAACATGTTGAAACTCCGTCTCTTCAAAAAATACAAAAATTAGCTAGGTGTGGTGGTGCACACCTGTAGCCCTAGCTACTTGGGAGGCTGAGGTGGGAGGATCACTTGAGCCTGGGAGGTAGAAGCTGCAGTGAGCTATGATCACACCACTGCACTCCAGCCTGGGCAAGTTTGAGACCCTGTCTCAAAAAAAAAAAAAAGGAAAAGAAAAAGAAAAGAAATGAAATGTTGCTTCTAATCAGCAATATTCATGAAACTAGAGAGGCAAAAAAAAAAAGAGAAAATATGAACTTAGGTCCAACTTGGTTAGAACATATGGCATAAGTAGAAAAATAACGAAAAATAAAAGATTTTAAAAAGTGAATTGGGGCCTTAGCATGCAATGTCCGAATACTAAGCTAATGACCTGGTAGGAATTGGGAAGTTATTGCAGGCTTGAAGTAAATGAATAGAACTACACTTTAGAAATATGAATCTAAGGCTGGGCACAGTGGCTCATACCTATAATCCCAACACTTTGGGAGGCCTAGGTGGGAGGATCACTTGAGCTCAGGAGTTCACCACCAGCGACCAGCCTGGGCAACATAGCGAGACCTCATCTCTACTAAAAAGTAAAAATAAAAATAAATAAAATTTAAAAATAGTAAATATTAATCTAATAGCAGTATGTAGTACAGACTGTACAGGATGAGGCTAGAAGCAAAGATGGGGAGTTAGACCATTCCAACACTGTTTACTTAAATAAATGCATGAAACAATTTACATCAAATATCTACCCACACATTGATGATAATGAGTCCTGATAGCACAAGTGTTTTCTTTAACCTCAGGGAAAATATCTCACTGAATCTTTAGATGGGTTTGAAGTAAAATACCTTGGCGGTCCTGACTCCTCCTCATCAACTTGGACCCTACATCACTCACTGGCAATAAAGCTTTAGATACACAGATATCGAAATGGGGAGAAACAAGAGAGAAAGAGCAAGGAATAACAACATGATTTACGTTAAAATAGATTGAGACAAAGGATGTAGGAATCAACTGGAAAAGCTCCCCACAGTCCAAACTGGGACACTTTGAGGAATAAAATAAGGACGTGTTAGATTATAACCCAAAGTGTCAAATATTTATGAGTTTATACTAACATAAATGATTGAATAAAATTTGAAAATTGAAGAAAAGTATGTGTGTTGAAAGCAGGGAAAACTGGGAATTTTGAGAATTTCTGTATGGGAGAAGAGACACAGCTGCCATACGGAACTCCACATATTTAGGTGGATACTCCTTCCTCAAGGAGAGCGGCATGATTCCCCACTCTGAAGTGGGGGCTTGCATGGTGACTTCCTTCCAAAAAGTACAGTATGAAAAGTACAGCACGCAAGTACACTCTCTATGCTGTATGGAGTAACTCCACACTGGAGAAACCTGACACAACGAGGTTGTGTCAGGTAATCGACGTCACCATCACTGGTAATATACTGGTAGTTTGCACCCCTGATTTGATGTGATGAGAATGGCACTTTACCTTTGTGGTCTTCCTCCCAAAACCTCATTACTCCAGTCTAACCATGAGAAAACCATCAGACAAAGCTAAACTGAGGCACATTCCACAAAATACCTGACTACTCCTCCTGAAAACTGTCAAGGTCATCAAAAACAAAGAGAGGATGAGAAACAGTCACAGTTTAGAGGAGCCTAAGAGAACATGACATTTAAATGTAATGTGGTATTCTGGATGAGATGCTGGAACAGAAAAAAACAGTAGGTAAAAACCAAGTAATCTGAAGATTGTATGGGCTTTGATTAGTAATAATGTGTCAGTATGGGTTCATTAATTTTGACAAACCTCCCATGGTAACGTAAGATGTTAACCAACAGGAAAATCGGGTGCTGGATACCTGAGAGCTCTCTGTACTATCTTTGCAACTTTTCCATCAATCAAAAATGATTCTGCAATTAAAAGTTTATTAAAAATTATAAAAGTACATTGAGAAAATTCAAAACTCTTCTTTGTGTGTCCTTTATAGGTGAAAAGCTCTTACCGAAGCAACAAAAATCAGCAGACACCTCTTCAGCTTGAGTTCTTCACCATCTTTTGCAACTGAAATATGATGGATATGTTTAAGTACAACTGATGGCATGGAAAAACTCAAATTTTTGATTTATTATAAATGAATGTTGTCCCTGAGCTTAGCTAAATGGTGCAACTTAGTTTCTCCTTGCTTTCATATTATCAAATTTCCTGGCTTATAAACTTTTAAAATTACATTTGAAATATAAACCAAATAAAAGATTTTACTGACAAGATTCTTCATGCCTTTTTGCTCCCCTTAAAATGTCTTTTTCACTAGTTAATTCCAAGGGTCAGTCTCATAATTTTGTTTTTAGACTTTGGTTTCTTTTTTTTCTTTTCTTTTTTTTTTTTTTTTTAAAAAGTTTGGGGGGTTTTTTTTTTTTTTTTTTTTTTTTTTTTTTTTTGAGATGGGGTCTCGCTTTGTCACCCAGGCTGGAATGCAGTGGCGCGACCTCGGCTTACTGCAATCACCGTCTCCTGGGTAAAAGCGATTCTCCTGCCTCAGTCTCCCGAGTAACTGGGATTACAGCTGCCACCACCACACCCAGCTAATTTTTGTAGTTTTAGGAGCGACGGGGTTTCACCATCTTGGCCAGGCTGTTCTCAAACTCCTGACCTCGTGATCCACCCGCCTCGGCCTCCCAAAGTGCTGGGATTACAGGCATAAGCCACCATGTCCGGTCTAGAGTTGGGGGTCTTTCTATGTTGCCCAGGCTGGCCTTGAACTCCAGGCCTCTAGCAAGCCTCCCATCTCAGCCTCCCAAGGTGCTCGAACTACAGGTGTGAGCCGCTGCACCAGGCCTCATACTTTGGTTTCTGAGCAGGAGATTTTGTTCCACAGTAACCCAGCTATCTTTCGTCTAAGAACTTTAGATGAGAGAAAGAAAAAAATAGACTACAGATAACTATTCCAAGGCAGTTATGGTACATTTAGCCAACACTTTTGCTTCTTCTCATGCTATCTGTTAGTATTAATGCTGGCAAAGCAAGATTTTATGCAAAACAACATACCAAGCCTTGCTTTTCCACTGCATTCCTGAGGGGGTTATTTATTGTGTTGTTGATTTTCTTTCCCTTTTGAATATGAGATATCAGAGTAAGAAAATGTCAATGATCAAATTCAATGACACAATTTTGGTTAAATATTGATGGATAAAGGTGTAAAATGATTTTTTTCACATTTCTTATCCCATTTGATCCATCAGCATCATTTTGCCCTGATGAAACTTTCACTTCCTAATTTCCCCTAGTTCTCCTCCTACACTTCTGATTCCATTTCTTTTTCCTTGGGGGGGGGGGGGGGGAGGGAAGTAAGGGGCAAAACTATTTATCTTATATATTTATTGTGAAATCTCAGTGAGACAAAATGTCAAAGCACCTGGAACTTAGTAGGCACTCAACAAATTCAAGCACTCTGCCCCTTCCTCCACTTACTCTACAGATGCAGGTGCTTTGCAGGGTTCTAGCTTGGGTCCACTCCTTTCACATCTCATGTTCTTAGATAGTATCATCTACTCCCACGGTTACAACTACCTCTTAGGACCCCAAAGTCTGTACTTCCAGTTTCTCCCTTACTATTGATCTTCAGAATGTCTCCCTTGCTAGCTGTGAAAACGAGTCCATCTGGATGTCCCCTAGACCCTGTCTACCCAACAGGTCCAATGATATCACTTAGTTTTTCAAGGTGAGAAATCCAGGTACCAATGACCCCTGAATTGCCTCATCGCACCTTTCCCCTTTTCCCCGATATCCAATTTCACCCACTCTGTCACCAATACTCCACTTGAAAGCCCCAAGGGGTGATCTATTTTGTTTGCTGCTGTATTCCCAGTGTCTGCAACAATGCCTGACACTTACTAGGTACCTACTCAATCGTTTATTGAATGAATTACTCTCTCCTTTCCTCTTTGCTGGCATAAATGTAGTCCAAACCTTATTATCTCTTTGGCAAATCATGTTCATACCCTCTAAACTAACCTTCCTGCCTCTAGACTCCAGCTTCTCTTGCCTTCTCTCCAGTCCATCCTGTACACTGTGTACCATGAGTTAAATTGTAAATTTTTTTTTTTTTTTTTTTTTTTGAGACATAGTTCCGCTCTTGTTGCCCAGGCTGGAGTGCCATGGCACAACCTTGGCTCACAGCAACCTCCACCTCCCGGGTTCAAGCGATTCTCCTGCCTCAGCCTCCTGAGTAGCTGGGATTATAGGCGTGCACCACCACCCCGGCTAATTTTGTATTTTCAGTAGAGACAGGGTTTCTCCATGTTGGTCAGGCCGGTCTTGAACTCCCGATCTCAGGTGATCCACCCGCCTCGGCCTCCCAAAGTGCTGGGTTTACAGGCGTGAGCCACTGCGCCCAGCCAAATTGTGAATTTTCTAAAAAAAACAGACCCCAGTATTTTCCTTGGTTCTTCACAGTGTAGCCTCATTTTACCTCTTTAGCCCACTCTCCTGCCAATTCTTCATTCATAAAATTCCCAATCTTCCCTGCCTTCAAGATACATACTTTTTAAAAATTTCAAATTCCAATTGTTCATTGCTGGTATATAGGAAAGCAATTGACTTTTGTACATTAACCTTGTATCCTGTGATCTTGCAGTGATTGTTTATTAGTTTCAGGAGACTTTTTGTATGTGTTTCTATATAGACAATCATGTTGACTGTGAACAAAGACAGTTTTATTCCTCCTTCCCAATCTGTATAAAGCTGCATTTCCTTATCTGGTCTTAATAGCTAGGATTCTGGTATGATATTAAATAGGAACATGAGAGTAAACATCTTTGCCTTGCTCCTGACCTAGGGTGAAAGCATATAGTATCTCATCATTAAGTATGATGTAGGTTTTTTGTAGATATTCTGTATCTGATTGATGAAGTTCCCCTCTATTTCTAGTATACTGAATTTTTTTTTTTTTTTTTTTTTTTTTTTTGAGACGGAGTCTCGCTGTGTCACCCAGACTGGAGTGCAGTGGCATGATCTCAGCTCACTGCAAGCTCTGCCTCCCAGGTTCACAGCATTCTCCTCCCTCAGCCTACCAACTAGCTGGGACTACAGGTGCCTGCCACCACACCCAGCTGATTTTTTGTATTTTTTAGTAGAGATAGAGTTTCACTGTGTTAGCCAGGCTGGTCTCAATCTCCTGACCTTGTGATCCGCCTGCCTCGGCCTCCCAAAGTGCTGGGATTACAGGCGTGAGCCACCACACCTGGCCACATGACACTTTTTATATTGTTCTCCAGTTCTTAGATATTCTGTCCCATTTTTTTTTTCATTCCTTTTTCTCTTTGCATTTCAGTTTGGGAAGTTTCTATTGACATATTATCAGGCTGTTTCTTTTCTTGGCCAAGTAGACTAATGATAAGCCCATCAAAGGCATTCACTTTTGTGAGAGTGTTTTTATTTCTAGCATTTCAAATCTTAAGAGTTCCCATCTCTCTGCTCATATTACCTATCTGTTCTTGAATGTTGTCTATTTTTTTCCATTAGAGCCCTCAGCATGTTAAACGTAGTTGTTTTAATTTTCTGGTCTGATCATTCCAGCACTCCTGCCAGATCTTAGTCTGGTTCAGTTGCTTGGTATAGCTCTTCAGATTGTGTTTTTTTCTAACCTTTTAGCATGCTTTATAATTTTTTGGTTGAAAGACAGACAATGCATCAGGTAATAGGTAATTAGGCTTTTTTTTTTTTTTGAGACAGTCTTGCTCTGTGTCCACAGCTGGAGTGCAGTGGCACAATTTCGGCTCACTGCAACCTCTGCCTCCCAGGTTCAAGCAATTCTCCTGCCTCGGCCTCCCAAATAGCTGGAATTACAGGTGTGCACCATCACACTCGGCTAATTTTTCTGTTTTTAGTAGAGATGGGGTTTCGCCATGTTGCCCAGGCTGGTTTTAAACTCCTGGTGTCAGTGATCCGCCCGCCTCAGCTTCTCAGAGTGCTGGGATTACAGGCATGAGCCACCATGCCCAGCCGGTAACTAGGCTTTTAATCTGAGGCTTTATATTAATTTGGATAGGAGCTGGGCTGTATTTGAGGTTTACTGTAGCTGTCATTATTACCATTTTACTTTTTTATATGTATTTATTTTTACCATTTAAGAAAATATCCAAATAGTTACCATTTTAGTGTTCCTACCAGTCACTGACCAGCAGCCTCTTCTCCCAGTAAGCTGACCTCGATTGTGATTCTCTGTATTTGCCTGTCTCTCCAGGGTTTTGAGTGGTGGTTTGTCCTGTGACTTTAATTCTTCCATGGATCAAAGAAAAACCATTGATATTCCAATCTGTTCAGTTTTCTTATTTTGCTGTGAGGAGGGATGTGATGACTTCCAAGCTCTTTACATGTTGGAGCTGACACTAAAAGTCACCCACATACTTTTTCAAGTCCTTTCCCCATGTTTTTCTATAAAGCTCAGCTAAAATAACCCTCTGTGGAGCCTTCCCTGACTTCTCTCTCCTAAATGAAGAGCTACTCTCTGTGTGCTCTAGTAGTTGGAGCAAATACAAGGATTAAACTTACTGTCTCTTGGCTCTTTGACTCTTTGGACGCCTGGAGAACAGGCATTATGACTCAACTTTGTATTTCTAGCATATGGCATAAATCAATGTCTGTTGAAGGAAAAGGGAACAAAATACTCTTCGCTAACTAAAAACAAAGTACTACTTTTATTTGGCTCATTTCTCCATTTATTGAATAACCACATTTGGAGAGGCATGAAGCACTAAGTTTTACATGACTACAAAGTTATCACAAATCTCAAACTTTTTAGCCACAGATATTTCACCTCTGTTTAAAGAAAAAGCTTTCAAAACATCTGAGTTAGCTTAATACACAGAGAACCTGAAATATACGGGAACTACATATTTTTAAATGCTTGTACTTCCTGCTCTAATAATGTCTTCTTTAAACGGAATCCAGCATAAAAGGGATTGAAATGTATAAGGTCATGATGCAAATGCTTTGGAGATAGTGAAACTGATCTGCACAACATGGAAAAAGATGTCATGTGCACAGAAGTTCTGCAAGGATTCATTGAGCCATCTGGGCTTCCATGGCTTGTGCTGTCCATTCTGGTGCTGTTTGACTAATTTTCTCCAAAAGGTTATTCACTTGGAAACAAAGTGATTGGATCTGCTTGTCCCACGTTGGCAGGGCTTCTCGTGCTAAGGGGCAAAAAAAATGTACAAAATTAAAATTATTCCTTTGTATTCACAGCAACTGTGAGTTAAAAGATATA